GGTATATTATAAGTGTTTGGGGAAAAAAGGTATTTTATGTGTTTGGGGAAGGAAAGAAAAGGACCCACAGGGCCGTGGATTTAGCTCAGTGGTTCGGTGGCCTGCCTTGCAAGTGCAAGAACCCAAGTTCAACCCCTGGTACCAAAAAAAAAAAAAAAGAAAGAAAAGAAAAGAAAATGACCCACAATGTTCTCTGCCAGAAGTCTGAGCCAACCTGGGCCTGAAGTATGGGCCTCATGTAAGCAGGCATTGAATGGTGAGGCCATGCTTGGTACAGGAAGTGGCAGGTGGTAGGGACCTCAGTACACTGTGGGCTGGGGAGAAGGAATGGCACACACCTGGGAGTCAGGACTGGAAGGTTTGCTGAGTCAAGGTTTGCTCAACTCTCCGAATCTCAGCTTCCTGACAGGAAAAACAGATACCAGCCACAGTGTTATGGGAATTGATTACAGTTACAACTTCTGTGACTACATAGTGTGAACCCTAAATTGCTAGGCAGACATCAGATAACTGTATATCATTATTATTAGTTATTTTGGGAAGCCCAAGACCAAATTGAGGCGGGGAGTTGAAAGGGGTGTTCAGCTGTACCCCTCAGTTGCAGATGGAAGTCCCCAGAAGCTGGCAGCAGGAGAGGAAGGAAGCCATTCTGAGGTGCAGTATTTTGACAGCTGTGGGCGGCCTGACCTTTCTTGTGTCTATACTGTCTCCAGCCCAACTATAGAGTTGGGCCCTCCTGCTGATTGCTCCTCCCCAACCTCCAGCCCAAACATGCCGGTCCAAATAGACACCCACTTGTAACCATGTAACTATGGTCATGGATAGATTGGAGACACATGGCTTCATCTGCGGGGTGTCTGATAGAACTGACAGCTGCTGCCTCTTCCCAGCCATCCGTGTTTCCATTTGGACTGCAGCCTGAAATGGGCCTCGCCATTCTAGGGGCTGACCTGGGCAGAAATGGGACCACCTGTAATGGGAACGGGCTGCAGACTCCTGGCAAGGACTGTCCAGAAAGCTGAATCCTTGTTTCCTTTTCATGCAGTAATTCTGCTGTAAGCCCAACCTTATCTTGGTGTTTATTTGAAACTAAAAGTCAGATGTGACATTGCTCAAATTCTGTTATCTGTGTCTGGTCCTGGTTCTCACCTCATTTCTCCAAGACCCACTTCTGCACTGGAAGGAGGTCTGACCCCCAGGGCCTACTCATTCAGGTCTGGCTGTCTCTTGATCATGTGTGGAGGCGTGGTTCAGACACAGCCTAGCTGAGGGTCAAGGGAGAGCAGGGAGACCTACTGAGCCTGAGAACAGGAGGATGGCAGGCACTTAGAACAGAGGCTGCTGCTTTTTGGGACCAGGGTGAAGGTCCTGAAATGAAGGCAGCCATGGTGGGATGGCCACCAAGGCAGGTGGGGACTCTGCAACCTATTTCCCACTCCAGATCACCACCCCCAACTCACACTGACAGTATGGAGAGGCTGTGGACTTCAGGACAACAGATCTCCTGAGCTCTGAAAGAGCTGGGTGGGATGGAGGTGAGGCACTGGCTGAGGGATGATGCCAATGGTGGGAGGGTTTCTGTGTCTATGTGGATGCTCATTCCCCTTAGCTCCCCTTGCTTCACAAACTGTACTTCAGCTAGAGTTTTGATCTTGTGCCTCTTGGTTTTTGCATGGGCTGGTTTCTCTGTTAGAAATGTCTGCTCATCTCTTTGCCTTTGTCTGGCCACCTCACATTCACCCTTCAGATGTGGCTTGTGTAGGAAGCCTTCTCAGCTGCCCAGGTCCTTTGCTTGATTCTCCTCACATCTTCCCCAACTCTTCTTCATCAGAGAGCTTCTTGCCCAGTACTTTCCAATTGACCTTTTTGTCACTCTGAGAGTTCATCAGTGTATTCCAGGGCCTAGTGTGATGCCTGGTGTGCAGTGTTCCACAAGTAACTGTAACATCGATGAATGGCTGAACCTTTGCATGGATGGATAAGTGTAAGAATGGTTGGTGGATAGGTAGACATGTGATAGGGGAAAGAGTATATATGGGTAGGTGGTTGGGTAGATGGATGTGTGGGCGAGTGATTGGTTGAATGGGTTGGGGATGGCTAGATGGAGGACATTTACATATGTGGACATACGGACAGATGCATGGGTAGGTAGTTGGAAAGTGGATAGTTAATACAGAAAATGAATGGTATACACATGGCATACCCATGGGTAATGAATGCAGGAGTGAGCAGCTTAATGGATAAATAGGCAGATAATAAGCATATGCCTGAATGGATGATTGGAAGAGTGCAGAAAAATAATGCTCATGCATGGACAGATGAATAGGTAGGTGGGTAGACCCCTCACTCACCCCAGAAGTCATCTGGGGTATCTTGAGTGTCCCTTTTCTGGCTTGTCTTACCTAGCAATTGGAAATTCTGGGCTGTTTTGCAGGTGCCTGTGGTAAAAGAGTCTTCCCTGCCCAGGAGCGGCACAAAAGCACATTTCTGGAGAGAAGTAGAAAATGAGGAGTGACAGAGTCTTGCCTTGGGCACAGGCAGTGAGCTGCTCATATTTAGGGACAGGTACTGTGGATATGGCAGGGGAGACACTTGGGGAGCAGAGAGTGATTTGAGAAGAGTACTGGGGTTCAGGGTGATGACAGGGTGAGAGTGTTACTTACAGGCCCAGGGTCCCTGGATCAGGAGTTTCTTCTTTCCTTTGTTCCCAGCCAATCACCCAATAGGAATTGTCCCTATGTAGCAGGACAGAGGCTGAGGAGACATATGGCTGGACCTTCTGGGAAAAGAACATGGGCCCTGAGATCTGCATCCATCCCATGGATGGCCCAGAGGGAAAGCGGCTGATGGTTCATAGCCCACACTGCTGGCAGATCTGGGAAGCATCAGGTAGCAGCACCAGGAAGTGGAGGGATCCTGTGCTTACCTCGCCAGCCTCTCTGGCGGGCACTGTCCTGACTTGCCCTCCGGAGGCTCCAGACCAGGAAGTGGGAGATCAGTGGGGACACCCCAATCAAGGGGCATCTGGTCTTGTCAGGCCCACCCTCAGGAAACTGAGGCCCAGAGAAATTCAAAGACTTGGCCAATGTTACACAGCAGGTTGGGGCCAGAACCCTCCAGAACTCTGTCTACTTCCAATACTCTATATAGACTGGGTGGGGCTAACTCCCCATCTCTGGCAAGTGACTGTGAACTGAGACACAGACAGACCACATATTCTTTCCCAGGCTTATCTTTATAATTGACATTATTGTTGTAACCAATGAGACTATAGAATATCATGATTAAGTGCTTGGGTTAGGAAGGCTGATGGTTTGGATTCTAGCTCTGCCTAATATTTAACAGTGTGACTTTATACTTAACCTCTTGGTACCTCAGTTTCCTCATCTGCAAAATGGGAGTGATATATACCTCCCTCACAGGCTGAATTATTGAGGCTAAGTTCACTACATAAAGTACTTAGGGCAGACTTGTTGAGTATGGATGTGTGTCTGTGTGTGTACAATAGTTACGAGTGAGCTCATGTGCAAGTGTGCATAGGTATGAGGCCTAGAGGTACACATGTTTATGTAAATATGTGAGCATGTGTGTGTATGTATATACAAGAACAGTTATGAGTCTATGACTATACACATGTGTGAGTGCTATAGTCTATCAGACAAGGTGAAAGAGAGAATGTATTTGTATATGCAGTATGTGTGCACACAGAGTATGGGGTAGGAGGAAAAGTATGTGTGTATAGCTGTCTCTTGCTCACATTAGGGTCCCAGAAACCTTCCCAAACAGAGTCCCAGCTAGGAAGACTCTAGGCTCATTATTTCAAGTCATTCCACTCCCTCCCGCCTCCTAGTTTAGAAGCTGGAACCAGAGGTCAGGAGGTAAGCCATCTCGGCTGGACCAGCAGGAATCTATCACAGGGGAAGGAGGCAGAGATAGAGCAGGTACCGGGAGCTGTCGGCTTCAGATCTGGAGACTGAGGGCTGGATGTGGGCCATGTGGACCTGCAGCCACGTGGATGCACAGGCAGGAGGGGAAGCGCTGCGTGAGGTTGCAGCTACCTGACCTGGAAGGAGCCCAGTCTTGCCAGCTACTGAGTTGTGGACCCACAGAGATACATAGAGGCTTCCCTGGGCCTCCTTGGGCCTACCCAAATCCAAATGCCACACACAGCCATCACTATCCTGGGCAGGAACGTGGCCACCAAGTGGCTGGCCAATGGGCAGAGGTCCTACCTGAGGCAAGTTAGCATTACAGGGAGTTAGCTGTCCAAACCATAGTCACCTAAATGTATGTCACATCAGTCTGGAGGTAAGGAGGCTCTAGGGCTTCCATAGTGCCTGAAGGAGGTAGGGGAGGGTGTCTCAGGAGGAACTAGAAGGAATCGGCAGAGGTAAGGAAGGGCATGGTGAGAATAAAGGCTCAGGCCTGGGAATGCAGGCTGGGTAGTTTGGATTATGTTCTGGTAGTAGTAGGGAATCCTGGAAGGTGTTTGGATTCACCTGTGCAAGGAACATCTATGCTGGCTTTGCAGTGGAGGTGGATGGGAGCAGGTGAGGGGCCCCATCGAGGCAGTTACAAGTGGCTTTTTGCAATAGGAGGGAAAGACCAGGGGCATGCAGGACCAAAGGTGCTGAGGAAGGTTTCAGCTGAGACTGATCAGTGATGTATCCCTGGAGGAAGGTGGTAGGATATACAGAGCTACATATAGCCTAATGGTATCCTGCAGGCCTCACATAGTGCAGCTCAAGGAAAGTAGGTTATAGGAACAAATAGACCAATAGCCTCTTGGGTTTGGTTCACTCTGGTTGCCTTCTCTTCTGTTCCGCATCTTTTCTCTTTGCCCATCCTGTCCTGTGGCCCTGAAGGACCCTGCCTGGCCTAGTAAGGGGAGTACTGGTCCACGGTCACACCCAGAGGCTCTTTCTTTTTTGCTATGTACCCGCATGGCTTCTCTCTCTCTCCGTCCCCCTCCCCCTCCCTGTCCTTATCTTTCCCTTCCGTCTCCATGGCGACTCACCACCTCAGCTTGCCGGCATCCCAGCCTCTGCCAGGGATTTGGAGCTGGGCTCCCTCCCTCCTCTGAAGCCTTGTACCCGCAGCCCTGTCTCCTCCCCCTCGGGTGAGTCCAGCGGCAGCATCCTCTTTCTGGACCAATCGACTAACCCGCACTTTGATTCTCCAGCTCTGACAGAGAGTCAGCTCCTTGGGGAGACCGTCCCCTGCCCCTCCTTCCACCTGCCACAGCTCAGCTAGCTCTTCAGGAAAGCCTAATCTTACCTCCGGCTGAAGGTCTCAGGGGCCTCCTCGCTCCGTGGCAGACCCTCTCCCATCTCAGCCTCCCATGCCGAGGCCCACCTTGTCAGTCACTTCCTTCTGTCATCGGCTGGGCAAACGGGCAAGTGTTCAGTCCTCAGATCTGGGGAGGAGGCTGGGGGTGGGAAGGAGTCACCTGGGGTGGGGGATGGGTTTGAGAAGGGGAGGAGGGGCCCCTGGAAACCCAGGATGGAGAAGAGTTTGCATTCTGTTTTAAATCCCGCCCCCCCCCTTTCCAGGAGAGAAAACGGAGCTTCATGGGAAACAGCAGCAACAGTTGGTGAGCAGCGGTGACTGCTGGGCTGGGATTGGTGCAGCGGGCCTGGCAGGTCAGCTGGAAATGGCGGGGCCAGGAGCATGGAGTCCTGAGGGCCGGCCCAGTCAGCTGAGGCTCCACAGGGCCCTCCATGGGGAGGGAGTAGCAGGCTGGACTGGCTTGGCTGTGGAGGGGTGGACCAGGACAAGCAGGTGGGTGCTGCAGGGAGGCAGATGCTCAGCTCAGAGAATGGAAGGAATTCTGAGAGCCAGAGCCATCTGCTCAATGGCTTAACAGGCTCCTTGGACACCAGGAGGCTTCCAGTCTCTTGCTGTCCCAGCAACAAAGGCTCAGAGTTTATCATTCCTTGGGAGATCTGGCCCAAATCAGCACTTCCTTGAGGGACCCTGGGCAGCAGGGAGAGCACACGGGTCACGTCAGATGACTGCCCCTATACCCACAAGCTGGCTTCTGCTAACCTCTCCACTGCACAATTAGGAAATTGTGGCCCATTGGGGAAGGACATGGGGTGTGAGGGAGGGAGGACTGGGTGGAGCTCACCTTCTCTGGGAGGGTCCATCGGTCCAGGGAAGCCCTAAGGGAAACTGAGGTGGCATGGAGGGAGCTCCACCCCCAGCCATCAGCCTGACCCCTGAATCCCTAACACTTTGCTTTTAAATGGCCTACCCTTCCCCCAGGTCCCGTGCACCATTCCCCAAGTTGGAGCTGGGTCTGGGGCCCCGTGTGACTGCACCCCAGGAGCTGCCTACCTGCTCCATCTGCCTGGAGAGGCTCCGTGAGCCCATCTCACTGGCCTGTGGCCATGACTTCTGCATTCGGTGCTTCAGCACGCACCGAGTCCCCGGCTGCGAGCCACCATGCTGCCCCGAGTGCCGGAAGATCTGCAAGCAGAAGAAAGGCCTCCGCAGTCTGGGGGAGAAGATGAGGCTCCTGCCGCAGCGGCCACTGCCCCCTGCACTGCAGGTGTCTGGACCAGGCCTCCCTGTGGGATGGGGTGCACGGAAGTCTCTGGGTCAAAAATGAAGGGTGGCTTTGGTGCTGTTTGACAATGTTAGGACAGGGCATGGAGTTCCAGGCTGGACACACTAGGGATGTGGGTCTGTTCTGGATGCTCAGTGGACTTTTTCCCCTGTCTAGGAGAGCTGTGCGGTGAGGGCAGAACCACTGCTGCTGGTGCGCATCAATGCCTCAGGGGGCCTCATCCTCAGGATGGGGGCTATCAACCGCTGCCTGAAGCACCCCCTGGCCAGGGACACCCCTGTCTGCCTCCTTGCTGTCCTGGGGGAGCAGCACTCAGGGAAGTCCTCCCTCCTTGACCATTTGCTCCGGGGCTTGCCAGGCCTGGTGAGGGCAGGGCTGGCAGGAGGCTGGGTAGGGGGCAGGGCGGGAGTCCTTGCTTGGCTACGGGTGAGGAGCTGAGTCTGAAACCCAGTCTCCATGGACCTGGAATGGACCAGCTGATGCTTCCTTCTCTGCCTGCAGGAGCCTGGTGGTGAGGGCAGCTGGTCCAGAGGAGGAGAAGGGTCCCTGCAGGGGCTCAGATGGGGTGCCAATGGCCTCAGCAGGGGCATATGGATGTGGAGCCACCCCTTCTTGCTAGGGAAAGAAGGGAAGAAGGTGAGAGGAGGAAGGGAAAAAGGAAGTTAGGGTTAGATCAAGGAGGGGAAGGTATGGGAGGAGATGGGAGAGAGAGACAGATAAAGAGGAGAGGGAAGTCAAGCAGAAGTGTTTTAAGGCTTTGGGGTGAATATAAGAAGATGGGTCCAGGGAGCAGACCTGACCCCTTGGATCACCCTCCCCACACCTGCATAGGTGGCTGTGTTCCTAGTGGATGCTGGGGATGCCATGAGTCCTGAACTGAGCAGGGAAACAAGGATCAAACTTTGTGCTCTCACCACGATGCTGAGCTCCTACCAGGTGAGACGCATGGAGGTCAAAGTCTTCATCCTGAGTGCCCTTCCCTAGCTCAGTTTTCCTAAGGCTGAGGTCATCTCACAGGTTTGGTATCTGGGGTCCCTATAGGTTCTGGCAGTGCCCCTGGAAGGGGGAAGATGCTCATAGTCTGTGAAGGTGGGAGCATGGATGGGCCGATGATCCTTGGTTATGGGGGTAGGGAGAGGGGAACTGAAGGTCTGCAGGATTCCAAGACCATTGCAGGCTGGGAGGCATAGATCACCTGTCTGCATGCAGAGGCCTCAGGCCAGGTCTGTCCCATGTTCTGAGGCCTGCAGCTGCCCTCTTCACAGGCCTTCCTAGAAGCATTTGGCTTCTGGACACACCCTCCTGCATTCTGTTTTCCTTGACTGTAGATCCTGAATACCTCCCAGGAACTAAAGAACATAGATCTGGACTACCTGGAGGTGAGGAAAGTTGGGCACAACTCACCCCTGACTGAAGGCTTGGGGCCTGGGCCAGAGGAAACTAGAGTCTTCCCAGTCTAGCCCAGGATTCTTGAACTGGGTTGGTGGGTTTGAGGGTGGAGGGTGCAGCACAAGATGCCTGGTGTGGGGAGAGACAAGAGAATCTCAGAGCTGGGAAGTGGGAAGCTTGACTCCTCCAGACAAGCAGAGGGAGGTAGAGAGATAACTTGAGACAATTATAGCCCTCAGAGGGCCCCACCCTGATATTCTCTCTGTCCACTCCCAGATGTTTGTCCATGTGGCTGAGGTGATGGGCAGGCATTATGGGATGGTGCCAATCCAGGTGAGGCATTTGTTTCTGGACTCACCAACCTAAACCCTGTCACTCCCCGGAAGCTGCTACTAGGACCCTTTCTCTTTCAGCATCTGGACCTCTTATTTCGTGACTCATCCCACTCCAACAAGGCAGGGCAGGGTCACGTGGGTGACATCCTCCAGGTGAGTGGTGTAGAAGGAAGGGTTGGAAGGTATGCTGAGGGCAGAGAGGCTGGAAGGGCCTCTAGGAGGGTGCTCACAGTGGGAGGCTAGGGCCCTGGATGAGCTCCCTCCTCCATCCTTCTCTCAGAAGTTGTCAGGCAAGTATCCCAAGGTCCAGGAACTCCTCCTGGGGAACCGAGCCCGCTGTTACCTCCTGCCATCTCCAGGGAGGCGATGGATGAACAAAGGCCGAGGAAGCCCAGGTGGTGAGCGTCCCTAAGGCAAAGTCCTTCTGTGCAATGCTCCCTAGCTCCACTCCCTGGAACCCCCTGCGGTATCCAGTCCTCCCAAGCCCTTCTCTTGAAAAGCCCTGGTCTCCTCAGTATGTGGAATCGTTTCTTAGACACAGATGATGATTTCCGCCACCTTCTGCGGCCCTATGTCTTGGATGTGCTGAGTGCAGCCCCCCAACACGCCAAGAGCCGCTGCCAGGGTTACTGGAGTGAGGGGCGCACCATGGCCAGGGGAGACAGACGCCTGCTCACTGGGCAGCAGCTAGCTCAGGAAATCAAGGTGTGAAAACTCCCTGGAGCCCTGGCACTCGCTCAGCAGGTCCCTCCTCTCCCTGACCGGGCGGTGGTGTCTCTGCAGAACCTCTCAGGCTGGATGGGGAGGACAGGGCCTGGCTTCAGCTCTCCGGATGAGGTACGGAGCCCCCCTTTCCCCTAAGGGTAGGTGTCTGGGAGGGAGGCAGGTGTGTGTGGGGTCTGGGCTGAACCCTGGTGGTGGGGGTTCATGCCTGGGAGTAGACATGAGGAACAGGTGGCCAGGCCAAGGAGGAAGGGGGGAGGCAGCCAGGGCTTTCCCGTGGACAGATGGCTGCTCAGCTGCATGACTTGAGGAAAGTGGAAGTCGCCAAGAAGGAGTTTGAGGAGTATGTGAGGCAGCAGGTGAGTCCCGGGCCTGCCGGGGAGGCAGGGGGCTGGCCAGGTGCTGGGGTGGAGATGCATGGGTCTCCCAGTCGGAGCACCTTGTTCCCTCCTCCTGTCACCACAGGATGTAGCCACCAAGCGCATCTTCTCTGCACTCCGGGTCCTGCCAGACACCATGCGGAACCTGCTGTCCTCCCAGAAGGAGACCATCTTGGCCCGTCACGGAGTGGCTTTGCTGTGCAAGGAGCGTGAGCAGACTTTAGAAGCCCTGGAGGCTGAGCTGCAGGCCAAGGCCAAGGCCTTCATGGACTCCTATACTATGCGCTTCTGTGGCCACCTGGCTGCAGTTGGGGGCGCCGTGGGAGCTGGGCTCATGGGCCTGGCAGGGGGTGTCGTGGGTGCAGGCATGGCTGCGGCCGCACTGGCAGCAGAGGCTGGGATGGTGGCAGCAGGGGCAGCAGTGGGGGCCACGGGGGCTGCTGTGGTGGGGGGGGGTGTGGGTGCTGGGCTGGCTGCCACTGTGGGCTGCATGGAGAAGGAAGAAGATGAGAGGGTTCAAGGAGGAGACCGAGAGCCCCTTCTGCAGGAAGAGTGACCACCCAGGAAACATTAAAGAGTGGGAGAGATGTGAGGTCGGGGAGAAAGTAGAGGGTAGGGGTAGGATAATGACAGGGATTTTTGAGGGGCCCACATGTACCACACTGCCCCTGTTGAATGTCCTGGACACTGGCCAAGCTGGGCACTGCATACAGGAACCTGGGGAGGTTTTCTGCAGCCAGAAGGCAGCCAGTGAGTGGAGCATAGGGTCTGTCTCTAGTTGTAGATGATTATTGATCTGCTGCTGTCCTGGTCCCAGATAAATTTGACCCCAGGGTTTCTGCTACGAGTGAGGCTCCATCCTTTCTAGTTTATTTCCCCAGATGACCTTGGGTTGGAGCAGAGTTGAGCAGATGCCATCCTGCACGTCGACCCCGGGTCAACAGCCCTGTCATTTCACAGATGGTAGAGTCCTTGGGATGGTTGACTTTGGTGTTCAAGAGTGAAGAGCACTGACAGGGCTGGGGAGGAGTGGAGGAAGGGACCCTGGGCTAAACCAGTGAGGCAAGTTATGGCAGATGGTGGCTGAAAACCCACAACAGAGACATTTGCTCCCAGATGCATTCATTCCAAAGCTACTCCTGCAGGACTAAGGTGGCTGCCTGCCCTCCCCTCTCAGCCTGGCAGCTGTGTGTGCATCCTGAGTGGCCCTGTGCCCAGCTTGGGCTCATGCCTTTTGTCCAATCTGTTCGCATAGAGGAGTGCCCATATTCTTTGTGGAACGCCCTCACCACGACAGACTAAATGCCAAAGAATCACACTTCGGTTGCATTCTGAGCTAAACTAGTCTATTCCAGATTCTATCAACGCTTCAATAAAGGAAACCAAAGGGAACAGATTATATCTTTAAACATGATGTTTCTCCCCAGAGCTTGTGAGAGACCACTCTGCTCTGTCTTAGAAGATCTCTTAATGCTGCTCCCCAAATACCAGCTCCATGGGGAATCTGGGGGTGGGGAGCCTCTCTCTGGAAGATGGAAAGTCCTACTAGGAAGACTTTTGGGCTATTAAGGTGTAAAATGTGCTGGGCACATGACCTCTTATTTTATGAAAAAATAAAACGTGTGTACATGAACATTAGCTTCCCAGTTACTAAAAGAAGAATTCTGCTCTCAGAGGACTTCAGGGTGTATGTGGGGGTGTGGATCAAGTAGTTCCATTATTGGATGTGTGATGGAAAAAGGGACACTGAAATTTAAAAGTGACCTGTGGAGTGTCAGAGGCTCCTGTTTGGCAGTGGCAGGAAGGCCAGGCCAAAGGCTAGGTTCATGGCTATCTTTGTAGGCTTCTCCACTAGGACTTGGCAAGGTCCTATTTCTCTTGTCTCTCCTCCGAAACACTACTTCAGATGACACTGCAAACAGATATCAGTTGTCATATGTTTCTACAGGGAACAGAATAGAGGCATCAGCAGGGAGGTCTTAGTAAGTCCCCTGAAAAAGAAGATCCAGGACCCATTGGGCAGGGCTCAAGCAGCTGGGAGTTCACCTGTCCAGTTCTCCTTCCAGCCCCTACTTCCCATATAAAAGTTACAACAGTGGTCACTGAATCCAAAGTTTGGATTTTAAAGATGCAAGTCTTGAGAGGGAAGGTCCTCAGTGAGCTACCCAGCTGACAACAAAGAGGCAGGGGAACCCTGAAGTCCAGGCTAACACCACCCACAGACATAGACACCCTAGGACATTTTGTTAAGGTCAGCTCTGCTGAAATAGAGACATTCCTTTTTGGATGTTTTTTCTTATTGAGTAGGTCCAGCTCTGGGAGACTGGGGGAAGCAGAGGTGGGGGCCATGGTCTGAGACAGATGCCTTAGCAGTCAAAGTTGCAGTTAACAGGCTGGGGACAAAATACATAATGTAGAGAAATCCCAAATCCCTAGTGGGGGTGGGTGGAGTAAAGATGGATGAGGGTGACTCTCTTTTAGAAACTGGGCCAGGGGTGGGGACAGGGTCTAGACTTTGTATAGTGTTTGTGGAGAAAGGTTTTCTGGAAGCATCTCTGTGAGTTCTTCCATCATCATCTGGTGGACACATGAGCTACAAAACCTCCAAGAGGTTGGGCTGGCAGACTCAGGACTCAAGGGCCTCTGAGGACTCACAGGGTGGTGGTGCTAGAACCCCCTCTCCCAGAAGCACTGGAACAGAGGCTCACAGTCAACTTCTTGCTCTTTGAACATATGGGGAGCTGTTGGCCCAGCTGGGGAAGCTTCTGTAGCGACATAATGAGTAATACTGAGTGGTATTTTCCTTGTTCCTTATAGCTATCAAAGCATTTCTCCAAGCACCATCTCCCTTAAGCCTTACAACCATCTTATGAAATATGTAGAGGACACATTTTTACAGAGGAGGACACCAAAGCTCAGGGAAATGATATATCTCAGTAGAAACAACTAGTCAGAGATAAGCCAAGACTTGAACCCAAGATTTCTGATGGCAAATCCCTCACTCGACAGAGCCTTCACTTTGATCCCAACCCCTGTTATGTGGCTTCATAAGTGTATGATTTTCTGTTTCTATAATGAAATACCTGAGGCTGTGGCCTTTATAAAGAAAAGAGGTTTATTTAGCTTACAGTTTTGGAGGTTCAAGGGCATGGTGCCAGCATCAGCTCAGCTCTAATGAGGATCTTGTGGTGGTTGACAGGACATGATAGAAAGGGGCACAAGAGCGAAAGCTCACATGTCAAGCCAGGAAGCCATGGAAACTATACTAATTCCTTCTGAGGGCCATGCCCCTAATGACCTAATGACCTCTTAAAGATCTTTTTAATCTAGCTATGTGGGGGATCTGGCTTCCAAAACATGGATTCTTGGGGACATATATCATATTCAAAAAATAGCACTGAGCTTTCAACATCAGCTGTATAATTCATCAGAGCCCAGATAACTCTGTAGCTAAGGTCTCTACAGCATACTAAGATCTGGTCAGTTTTCCTTCTGTGACCTACTAAAAGTGAGCAACTCTAAGATTCTCATAAGTCGAGTGTCTGGTTAGAAATTTGGTGACTTACTTTGCTGTTAATCCCTTTGTTGAGGCCTCTATTCCAGTGAGGATTGCAGTACCACAAGACCAAAGGAAGCTGGATCCTGAAGCACTGTAACTACATGAAGCAAGAGCCCCAAGGCCAATGACTTGCGTGATACTGTGCTGTGAACCGGAAACCAACTCTTACTGCATTAAGCGGTGAACTCTCTAGGCTGATTTCTCATCACGCCATTGCCTCTTCTACCCTAGATAACACAGAAATGTGCTTGTGAAATGGAATGGTTCCATGACAAACACCTAAAACATTGCTGGTTGGGTGGTGAGCAGAAAGGAAACACATGGCGGGACCCACTTACATCATGACGAAACATTTGCTAAACTGTCACCTACAATCACTTGGAAGGCAGATTTTGTGCTGTTGAGGAAAACTTTCTTATGTAAAGTCTCTTGCCAACCCAGAATATCCTCTCTATCAATGTGGAAAACAAAGAAAACAGTTCTGCTATTGAATATGCATTCAGCAAGACTGGGATACATCGCTGTAATTTGCTAATGCAATTACAAAGGCAAAAGAAGTCCCACCTTATTTATATAAGAAAGCAGATGAGGCCCATGTCAGTGTATTCTTATGTGTGAGGGATACTCCTCAGGAGAGAAAACTCACTTGCTACATAGTTTGCTTTCATAGTTTGCTCTGAACCAAGAGTAGTGGTCACTGGTGTGGACATCTGGGAAGAAAAATTGAAGCATTTAAAAAAATTACTCAGAGTGAGTCTGGCAGTGAGGTGGCAGAGTAGAGGTTTTGATTTTTTTTTCTTTTTTTTGTACCAGGGATTGAACTCCGGTCCTTGCACTTGCAAGGCAGGCCACTGAACCGCTGAGCTAAATCCCTGGCTCAGAGTAGAGGTTTTGATTTTTTTTTCTTTTTTTGGTACCAGGGATTGAACTCCGGTCCTTGCACTTGCAAGGCAGGCCACTGAACCGCTGAGCTAAATCCCTGGCTCAGAGTAGAGGTTTTGAGATGCGAGGTGAGGGGGTTTCTCAGGTCAGATTAAAGAATAAGAATGTGAAATAGAGGACTTGGAGATCTAACCATCCTCAAGCCTTCCTGGGAAGCATTTGCGAGGGGCAAGGCTTTGCATTTCAGAGAAAATTGAAGATTCAGTAAAATTACAAGAAATTTTTATGGAAGGAAAAGAAGGCTGGAACATCGTAGGAATCCCAGTTCACAGATCAGTACCAAGATCACCTGAAACATCTCTATTTAGCTGAAGAGCAAAGACTCAGGAAGCAACTAAACAAACAAACAAAAAACAAAAACAAAACCAGCCTTTGTCAGAAGGAAAAGTCAACCAGCTTTTGCTGAAGAACAGTGTAGAGTTGCTTTTTCTGAAGACCAATGTCATCAGCCTCAGCCAGAAGAACAATGTAGCAAAACAGTAAATTCCATGATTTTTCCAAAGAAAAAGAAAAAGAAAAAGGAAACATCCAATCAGAAAGCACAAGCTAAGCAGGTACAAGCTAAGTGTGCTGCTAAGAAACAAGAATTGGAGAAGAGAAAACAAGAGAGAGAAGAAGCTCAAAAGCTCTACAAAAAGAAAAAAAGTGGAAGTGTTCAAAATATTGAGCAAAAGGACTAAAAGGGGCGACCCAACTTGACTTTACAAATGAAGTTATCTTCTTTAAAAATACAAGAAAGAAGCTAAATTGGAGATTTTGTCCTTTATGGTAAAAATACACAGTAGATGTCTACTGGGTTCTTATGCATAGAAAATGGATAATCCCTGAAAATGAATCAAATTTGTCAACATAACATGAACTGCTAAGATATGCAAATAGATTTTTTCTTGTGAAAGAAAAATTTTAATAGGTATAGTTGATGTAGTATGGCTGGTTTTATATTTATTTGCTTCTGGAGGAAGATTGGGTTGAAGAACTTAAAAATTCTATTTGGGAGACAGGATCAAGCATTTTTTTTTTTTTTTTTTGTACTGGGGATCAAACTCTGGACCTTGTTCTTGCAAGGCATGCATGGTGCCACTGAGCTAAACCCCTGGGCATACTTTTGTCATGTATAAAATTTATATGAAATAAAAAAAATTTTTTTTGGTACTGGGGATTGAACTTGGGTCCTTGTGCTTGCAAGGCAGGTGGCAGAACCAGTGAGCTAATTCCCCAGCCCCGAAATAAAATTTTTTGAAAAAACATTTCTCAGACAAGTAAGTGCACAGTCTAAGCACCCAGGCTAACACTGCTTTTGTGACAGGGTGAGAGTATTGGCTTCCTTGATATTTATACCTGAAAGAGGTGGCTCTAGGTCCTTCAGAAAAAGTCCTGGATTTAAATCCCATTAAATGGTTTATTTTACCTTTAAAAAGATTTGCATAAGCATGAAAAGAAGAGAGGAAATCATGTCTTTGTGGCTTGCACTTTCATAAATTTAGCTATTTGAGTAGAGACTGCCCTCTGTACCAAGGCTACTCTTGCCTAGTTCTGTTCCTTCAAAGGATTGGATTTAATACATCTCTTTCCAATAGTGTAGGGCCTCAAGCAGTCTCCTTAATAGGCTTCCATGATGAAAGCTCCCATTTCCAGTTATCGTCCTCCTCTCTTGGGGTGGTCGTCCTCTTCGACCAACTGTGCAGCTTCGGGAGGGACACACATGGAGCGGTGAGGGAGGAAGGGGACACCCTCCTAGCCAGCCAGATGAGCCGAATCGACCCTGGTGATCAATGGGGTGACAGATGTCGCAGCCAGATTGTCTCACATCCTCAGTTCCGGCTATGAAAGCTACCAGTCTCAGACATTTTGTGGCAAATTTAAGGCTTGAGTATTGGGATGCTACCTGAGTTGTGTTTACTTCAATACTGCGAGAGTTACTCAGAAAGATGGCCACGCCTCCACTCTGCTGACATTCTCATTGTTGGGCTTAAGTCCAGAGTTGTCTATCCTGGGAATACAAAATGGAGCTGATGAGAGATAGGAGGACCGCTACAGGGAGTACAGAAAGAAAACAATGTCCTAAATAATATGTTTGTTTCTAGTAAATTGTGAGTCTTAAAGTAGGTCATCACTAGTGTGAAT